CTGCCGCGTTTAGCAGCGCCTCGTTTTCTCTCCAGAGCAGCGCTGCACCTCGGGCGCCCTCCCGGGCAGCGCCTCCCCCTCTCCCGAGGTGCGCCGCTGGGAGCGCCCCTCGCAGCCAGCCGCACCGAGGTGGGGATCGCTAGGGGGACGGGGAAAGACCCGCTCTCAGCCCCTGGAGTCGAACTGCGCAGCGGCTGCGGGACCTGCCCCTTCTCACCCTGTTTCTCCCTCTCGCTCTGCGTCCAGGGGCTTTTCTGGGGCGGCAACGTTTGGGTGCCCTGCAGCGCACGGGAGACAAAAGCAAGGATGGGACGCTGGCGGGTCCTCGTCTCGCATTGTGCTCGTTGGCGGTAAGTGGCGTCCTCTCCATTAGTCATGTCACGTACTGATGATGGGCACGTCTCTCATCATCACCTGGCAAAATGCAGACGAGTGCTCTTCCAATGTTGGGCAGGGACCTTGTCTTCACAAGAGTCTGTCTCACACTCCGTATCGCTGTATCACACTCTGGGTGCTACCGCCCTACAAATTCTTCATGTTGCCTTTCTCCTTTCTACTTACAGGGTTATGCAGGTCCTGCTGCTCTTGGGGTTGACCTCACTGTTAACTGGCAGAGTAAAAGCTGTAAGTAAAATGTGTTATCCCTTCATTGGAGGGGAGACAGGAACAAGGAGGGGGGCAGTATTTTTATTTGATGTGCCATAGAGCAAGGACATTCCATTTTCTTTCCCAAATACCTAATTTATCTGTCATTTTGATTTAAGGGGAAAAAAGCCAGCAGATCACTTGCAAATTAGCATCTTCAATATGTTTTGTTAGTCTCTAAGGTGCTGCAAAACTACTTGTTGCTTTTTAAGTTTTTCCAGATACACACTAACTTGGCTATCCCTCTGAAGATGTTGTTTAACAGAAATGCAGCTTCTTTCACTGTACTGTGTTACCGTTTGGGGTTTGTTGTATTCAGTCATTACACCTGTTCAGATCAGATTATTTGTTAAAGCAATATCAAGTCATTACAAAATTTACTCAAGATTATCTTCCTTTGTGGCCCAAGAAAAGCCACTAGATATGTGGGGAAAAAAACACATTAGTATAACAGCTGTGGAGCACAAATGTGGGAAATTAACCTATGGATAAAATGATAAATGTCACTATCTGAGCACAGTCCTAATATGTAGATTGAGTGAGCACTTAAAGGTACTGGTTTATGTTAAAAATGAAAGTGGCATTTATAAATAAATACTTTTAAAATGTAATCTAGTCTTATCTCCAAGAGGAAGTCCTTTAGGAAGTTAGGTGCTCTGTTGAGCAGATGCTAGTGAACATCATGCTGTGGTACTTGTATAAACAGGATTTTAGAAATAAAACTATCCCAGGCCATATTGTACTGCCCAATAAGTGAGGAGGGGTTGTGGGTATGGAGTGTCTGGGGCACTAAAGGCCTGTTCCAAAGTCCAGTGATTTCAATGAGTTTTAGATCAAGCCAGCAGCGGATTTAGGGTAGGGCGAGCGGGGCGGCTGTCCCTGGCCCCGCGCTTCCCGAGGCCTCGCACATGCGCTCCTGGCCCTGCGCTTCCCGAGGCCTCGCACATGCGCTGTGGCACCATGGCGCATGCGCTGTGTCAAAGGGGGATCCCCGCGAAATTTCGCTTCCCTGGGCCCCGCGGTGCTGCCCTGGGCCCCGCGGCACTCTCATCCACCCCTGGATCAGGCCCTACTACTCTGCCACCCCTTGTGCTAATGAACTGTAAAAACTTGATTTATGGCTGCTCCTGCACAGGTGCCCAAATGAGGGTCAGACATTTTGACACCCATGCAAGGTCAACTATGCTTTGACCATTTGGGCTTTTTAGAGTATCTTACATAATACTTTGGCTTCTCCTTCAATGCGTTTTATGGCTTTGCATGTTTTGAAAATCTGTGTGATTATATTTGGGTGATAAATTGGCATAACAATTTAGGAAAGAGAAAGTATTAGTTTTCACAGTATTTTGAAGCAGGTTTTGTAATAATAACTATTTTGCACTCAAGTTTTAGCAGCCTTTTGGTTTCTTAGGCAGTTGCTTATCCTCTGTGGAAGATTATGGTTGGATCCATCTCCACCCTGGTTTGAGAGGAAACATTGACTGCAGTAGATTTTGGATCCACTGATATTTTGTCATCAAAGGAAAGTGAAGCCAGGGAAAAGGAGGAGCAAGGAGCTAAAATGCCTAATGTCACATGTCCCTTTTGCTAGTCATCTCCTCTTGACAAAACACTGCTGTATAGGGATGTAAGCGAGTAGTTGACTAACCGATAAACCTAGGCCCGTGGTCACCAACAGGTCGATCGCGATTGATTGGTCGATCGAGAGGCCTTGACCAGTCGATCGCGAGGCATCCTGTCCGCCCCGCCTCCATTTCCCTCCCACCCCCCACAAGCCCCACTACTTACCTCAAGAGAAAACGGAGGTAGTGTCAGCTTCAGAAGTCCCGCAGCTTAGCGGCACTTCCGGCAATTCCAGAAGTGCTCTAGCTGCTCCGGGAGCATCAGCTCCCTGCACCGCACAGGAGGGGTGAGTCAGCCCCGGGGGAGGCGCGCACGAGGTTTCCCAGCGTGCGCAGAGGTGGTCAGCGCGCGTTGGTTTCCCTCGGGGGGGGAATCCTGGGAGGAGGCAGATGCAGGGGACTCTGCCTCTACTGGCACCCCACTCCCCAGCCACAGAATGCTGTCCCCATTCCCCTGTCCCTAGCTACAGAATTCTGTCCCTATTCCCGTCCCCATTCCCCGAACTCTGTCCCCACTGGCTCTCTGTCCCCTGCTAGAGAACCCTGTCCTCTGCCCTACCAGCCCACTGGCTCTCTGTCCCCTGCTGCAGAACCCTGTCCTCTGCCCTACCAGCACCCTGTTCTCTCTCCCCTGCCCCCAGCCACAGAACTCTGTCCCCTCAAAATGTTTAATTATAAATGCTTCATTATAGATTTAAATAGCATGAATAAAAACAGACCATTTATTTCATAACTATAAACATGTGATTTTAATTTTATATAAAAAAGCAGCAGTATAAGGATCGGGGATAGCAAGTGATGGAGAGGAGGAGAATAGAGAGGGCAGGGCTTCAAGGAAGGGGCGGGGCGGTAGATCTTCAACTGTTCTGAGATTTAAAAAGTGATCTTCTGTGTAAAAAGGTTGGAGAACACTGGCCTAGGCGTACCGGTTAGTCGAGCAACTATTTGTATTCCCACCCTCCTTGCTGCAAGGGGTGGGAGGAAAAAGGAGCTGGTGCTGGGGGAAGCTTGCTTGCCTCTCTCTCTATCAGAAGCAACAGCACAGGGAGCGGGGGGCTGCTCCAGCAGCAACCCCTGTCCCTGGGGGTTCTTGTTCCATTCTGGAACCTCCCATGGACAGGGGCTAAAATGCCTAACGGAGGGGAGAGATAGCTCAGTGGTTTGAGCATTGGCCTGCTAAACCCAGCATTGTGAATTCAGCCCTTGAGGCAGCTGTGGCAAATCTATGAGGGATGGTGCTTGGTCCTGCTGTGAATTTTTTAGGGACTGCTGCTGTGAAGCAGCCCCTGTCTGTGGCGGCCCAGGCTGGCTTTGGGCAGAGGCTGCTCCATGTGGGCAGGCAGCCCAGTCGGTCCCAGCTCACGCCGGGTTTGGGACCTATCCCTGCTGTGACTTTTCAGTTTAACTGTACTAAAAGCTGGATGGACAGACAGACTGGCTCTTACTACTGCCAGTTTAAACTGCAGAGCCGCTGAAGAGGTAGGTCCTTGAGCTTACACGAGCAAGGACTGAGCTGGGTTGCCTTCCCCTGTCAGCTAATTGAATAGTCGATAAAAATTCTATTGGCTACTTGATTAGTAAATTAACCACATTTTTACGTTCTATTAACATTTTAACTACTACTGTGCTGTGCAGCATACGGTGACCGTATTTCCCTGTGCTGAATATGTAACCCCTGGTAAAATTACTCATATTCAGGCAAGTTCAATGGCAATCACTCCTACAGACGTCCAAACATCAAGTTGACTGAGCCCCTGTTAAAAAGAACTCCTGTGTAGTTGGATTCTTTTTGTTTACCTTATTTTTAAGGCTTTAGTGTTCACACAGGAAGGGGTGACACATACATACACATTGTCTTAAGACCCTGTCTCACTGATGTGTGTGTGTGTGTTTGACCCACCAACCCTACCCAGTGTTCTCTCTCCTCCAAGTTTGGCTGGCCTCTGGGATAGACCTACCTTGCCTGATACCGGCAGCCTACCAAGGCCGCAAATTAGGGGAGTGGGGTGCATGAAGGGTCACATGTTTCCGCCTGATACCTGCATCCTACCAAGGCCGCAAATTAGGACAGTGGGGTGCATGAAGGGTCACATGTTTCCTCTCACACCCAGATTTCTACCAGAGTTCACACCAGAATGTGACCAGCCGCAGCCTTTTGGTACTACGTGAGAAAGAAGGGATGGGAGTTGCTTCCAATTTCAGAGAAGGGGGTGGGGAAGGGATGATTTGACTGTATTTTTGCATCACCTCTTCCCTTGTCCCCCTGCTCCCATGTGTCTGGAAGAAGCTTGTTCCTGCCTGGCCGCACACTGTCAAAATACAGCTAACTTCTCCAGGCTGCTACTGGCTACTAGCATAACCCAACCACCCCCTGTCTGCTGTCTACAGTGTGGGCAGGAAGGAGTTAAGCCCTACTGAATGAATTGTGCACCAGGACCCAGGGATTCTGTCTCTAGGGGCTTCAGTGAAGCAGGGTGGAGAAGTGGCTCACCTAGGGCTTTGATACGAGGCTGTTCCAGGCCCCACCCACCAGCACATTGCCTGGGAGCCGGAGTTGCATGAGCCCTTTGAATTGCTTCTATTTAAAGGGCTTGCACCTTCCCCACAGTTGGCAGGCTACAGCCACAGGGAGCACACGAGCCCTTTAAACAGAAGAAGTTGAAAAGTCTCGCGTGTCCCCAGCTCCCAGGCAGTAGGGGTGTGTCTACACTACCCTCCTAGGGAGCACACGAGCCCTTTAAACAGAAGCAGTTGAAAAGTCTTGCGTGTCCCCAGCTCCCAGGCAGTAGGCTAGCAGCGAGGCTGGAAGCAGTGAGCTCTTTAAATAGCAGGAACTGAAAGGGCTTGCAGCTCCCATCTCCGGCTAACATGATGCCTGAGAACCACAGGGGAGGCACAAGTCCTTTTAACTCCCGCTATGTAAAGGCCCCACCCCTTTTGTTTGAGGCCACCCTGGGGCAGCCTGCAACCACTTCAAAAACTTTTGAAGTGGCCCCTGCTCAAAAATTATTGCCCACACCTGGTCTAGGGGACAGAGCAGCACAATAAGGGAAAGAAGGACTCTGATAACCATGTTCCTGGTGAGCTCAGTGCACCAACCATAAGCTGATTCTCTGCTCAACTCTGGAGAAGAATGTGCCCTGCTTGGGGGAGATATGGAGGGTGCAGGGGAAGGGGCAAAGGAGAGAGAGGGCAGCAAGAGGGGAAGCATGTAAAGGGCTAGTGGGTGGGTGGCAGAGTCAACATGTGACTAGCTGCTGTCTGGCACCTGTCCACACTCAACAGCCACAGTAGCTCCCAGCCAGTGCCAGCTGGAAACAGGATGGGAAGGAGGGTGCAGGGCCCCGCTGGCTAAGA